ATGTTTATAGTGAATGCCCCTATAAATGGTCTTATTTTTACGATTTAGTTTTAATCCAAATGATGCGTGTGCTAAGTGAGTGAACATCAAAGATCACACAACAGAAGTGCGCTCTCTCTCTCTCTCTCTCTCCCTACCGTTAAGTAACTTGTGCACTGTTTTACTTTTTTTGACATATCCGACCGAACTACAAACTTTCCAGTGATGTCTGTGAGAAAGGTATATTCACTCAACTAGCTCGCGCATCTGCGCCGCGGCACACTCAATCCACTCAGCGTGCTTTGCTTATCAGCTCGCGCACATCAGCTATACAGGCGTTAATACTGAATGTTTAACATTATATTCATTGCATACATATACTTCTTAGACATCCTTAATCTCTAATAACTCCATGCTGCTGTCTGTTGTTCTGTTGTCGGTGTTTCTTTGTCTGAATATGGCACTTATCACATGCTGTGTGGTATCGTCATTTGGTATCAGGGCATTTTAACGAGTACGAGTACAGGAGCTCAGTATCGGGCCCGAAACCGATACCAGTATCGGTATCGGTGCATCCCTAAAATATAGTTTAACTCTATGGAATAACTGATTCCAATTGGTTGGCCATGGCAACAGAGTGCAGCAGTCATGCTCCAGAATTAAAAATACCATTCATTTTCTCCATAAGGGAATGGATTTTGAACGATCCTATTGTGAGCTAATCGATGGTATTTGCTTTTGTTGAAGCTGTCAGTCTGCATTATTTTCAACTTATTTATTTTTAACAGCATTTTACTTGGTGAAAACTACATTAACCATGATTCTGCAGAGAAATATCCACCAATCAGAGAACCACAAGTAAATCACGCCAAAAGAACACTTTAGCACCCACCCACTCTCTTGAAGCTCTGTGTATGACATACATATTAAATTATACAGTACAGTATATATTTAAATCAATAGTTTTAAGTCTAAATCGTTTTTATTTTGATTATGTCCTTCACAATGTTTCATGGGATTGTAGTTCTGTCACTGTCACTGGGCCGGTACGGTACCTTTGAAAAAGGTACACCTTGGTACCTTATTTACCCCTAAAGAGTGCATATTAGTAGGTGGGCTTCGATTGATCGACTACCGACACTATCGGCCGATAATCGCTTTGGGAAGTCTGATCGGCGGTCTCTATAAGGCCGATCTCAAGCTGACGATGTGCTTGCCGTGAGAGGTTTGGCATGACATGCAGCGGCACTGTCTCAATCTCTGTCCGGCACGGGTTAAATAATTATAATGCTGAAGGTGAGGTACAACTCATATTCGTTATTAAAGAACTAACAAAGTAATTTGAAAACTTTCTCTCTTTCCCTCTCAAAATGAGCAAATGGGTTCAAATCACCACATCGTGTCTGCACTATAAGTGAGCTGCACGCTGCACAGTTGACACAGGAATTGTCACTTGCACAAACGAGGCAGTCGCATCATCACTTACTTTATAATTAGCATTTTTTTTAAAGTCTCACCAGTGTTTAAACCATTCAGCACTAAAGAGATGTGCGCTCATGCACACTCAAAGCACACACATAAGGCCGCCTCACATACAGCTCACAAAATCAGGCTTGTGCTGTGTGTAAGCTATTGTGCGACAATTGCCCCATTGTAAAAACAAAAATGCACTGCATTATCAAACATTTAGGTGAAATAATTATATATTTTTTAAAAATGTCTAAAAAATTCCCCCCTCCACCCCTCATATTAAAAAAAAATCCCCCCCACAAGAGTCAGCTAAGAGGGGAATTCCCCCCATTTTCAAAAATGAAATTCAGGCCATGAATGAATGTCTGTAAAAATCGTGACCGGAGCATCACTATAAATAATTCTACATGATAAAAAGAAGGCTTCAAAAAGATCAGTATCTGTGATCGTATTGGCAGATACTGCTTCCTGTGATTGACGATCGGTGATCGGCTCCAAAAATCCTGATCGGAGCACCCTTACATATTAGTTCCTTAAAAGTAGTACATATTATTACCTAGAGTGTACATATTCTTACCTAAATGGTACATTTTAGTACCTTTTGAAAAGTCATGTTACCATCAGGGCTATTTACATGACAAACACAAGGTCGGCATCATAATCCATAAAATGTTAAATGATTTATTACATAAAACAGGAAACTTTTTAACCTTTTTTTTCCTGAGAATTAAAAAAAAAAAAACTACTGTCAAAAAATTATTATTATTATTTTTAAACAAGACTACTGTCGCTATTATAAAGCACATTCCTGAAATGGTGTACAGGACAATGTTGCATCACCTTGAAATGGTTTATTTTATGATAATGACCAAGTGACTCTATATATTACTGCTTATTATGTAATAATAATTAATGATAATACAAGAAAAGCGCAGGCTAACAAAACTCAAAATGGGACCTTTGGGAGGGGTTGTGACCTCTATGGTGAGTCAATACATTGAAATGGCATTCCTTTCCTAGCCTAATCATGATCTATTTCCCTGTATACGAGCACAAAAGAAAGTTATTTAACACTTACAAACAAAACTACTTTCACATAACATGCATATCTCACGCTCAACGAAGCAAAACAAAGCAGCCAAAACTCATCATTCTGTTTTGACACATGACCACTTGAAATAATTCTTCAACTTAAGTCCCCATTCACTTTTAAATGTTATTTTTTAACATAGCATTTATGCTTAAACTAAGAGTTAAACACAGATCCTTCTGCAGCTGAATAAACAGATGTTGATATTATGTAATACAGTGTGTCCATCATCGTACTGTATAATAAGCTATACACACACACGATTCTACGTGCATCAAAATTCAAAACATCAGTCGCATTCATATAGAAAAGCAGGGTTAAAGCTCGGTGAGAGCCGCTTTCATAATTTCTTACATCACATTTGTCTAAACTGCTATCAGAAGTGTTATTTACCACATCAGGTGCGGGTAGTGCAGATAGAGCTGTTATTAATTCAAGCGTAAACATGCATAGCATCATAAGTGCATCAAGCCATTATTTCAACAAACTGCACGTTTCATTTTGCTTTTTAAACGCGGATATTATCTTTCATGAATATTATATTCAAAATAAGAGGCTGCACTTACAAATCGATCGATAGGGCAGGTGGTTTGAATTCGGATGAACAGGCAACCGCGCTCTTGACTGTCGGCTGATGTGTTTGTGTTTCTGCTGCACGTCTGCGCAGCTCTTCCTGTCACTCATCCGGGTACCTCAGCTGCCTGCGCAGCTCCTCCTCCCGCCACTATCCGGGTACTTCTGGTGAAGGCCGTGGGTCATGGAGCTGTTGCGTAGGAACCCAGAGCCGTAAGATATTTAATATTCAAGAACCAAACCTTCGCCATAGTAGGATTTTGCGCAGCTCTGTGTACGTCAGCGGGAACATATCGAATCAAAGATATGTATACATTTACTGTATATCTATACTATACATATCTATGAGCGGGAAGGCCTTTAATTAGGTCATGCAGATGTTGCTTGGTAACCGTCTCCACTCGTAACGTAATTAATATTCATGAACCAAGTCTTTACTATAGTAGGATTTGTAAGTTTGTAGAGGGATCATTGTTTATATAGTACTCTATGCCACCTTGTGTATACATAATATACATTTCATAATATAAAAATAGCGAGTAAAAAAAGTTAAAAAAATAAAGGGGGAAATGTAAGAAAGATCAGTTGCATCTGTTTTTGCAAATCATTTGCATTTATTTCTACTGGTTTGGTTCTTCATAATATTCTGATGGATAATACTTACTAGGTGGGTGACTATTTTCATTATTTCAAAAACAAGCAATTAATTTCTTACATTTATTCTGTCATTTATTTGTCGTTTAATAAAAATTCATATATTTAAATACATATTTAAAGCAAACAAACAAAACATACTTTCGAACATTTACATCATTAATGGGTTTGGTAATGTAATCATTAGAATTACAAATTGTGTTTTATTTCTGTTATGTTCAAATGTAATATTTCCTACGTACACTCTAAAAACTGCTGGGTTGTTTCAACCCAACTTTGGGTCAAATATGGACTAACCCAACTGTTGGGTTAAATTTTTACATTACATTTTTAACCCAAAAGTTGGGTTAGTCCAAATTTGACCCAAAGTTGGGTTGAAATAACCCAGCATTTTTTAGAGTGTACTGTCAAAGAGATCAAGCAGGTACTTGGTGTATTTGTAGTACACACTTAATGGTTATTGGCCTCAGCATGACAACAATACCTCTCTGAAAATCTAACAATATATTTTTTTGATACCAAAAAAACATCTCCAAACTTGTCCAAAGGTATCCAACCAGCAGTCAATGACAACCAAAACAGCCACATTTTATTACTAAATATAACTTTATCAAAATGTAAAGTCCTTCATAGACAATCTGTCTAAATATCGGCCATCATTAAGGATTTGGGTTTCTTTAAGCAATACAGTGTTTTTCTTCCAAATAAAACAATGCCTTTTGTTTTTCATCAATGATTAGCTCTGTAGGCAATACATTCAAGGCGGTGTTATGCGTGACCAGTGTTCGTGGTTTCCAGCGTCTCCTCATAAAGCCAGCTCTGAGTGAAGTTTCCAGACTGCTCCATTAGCTCAAACAGATGCTTGAACTCATCAGGGTAAACGTCGCCTGTCATTGTGTCGTCAAGGAAGCTGAGCTTTGAGATGAGCTCTGATCCACTGCCAGGACTCCATGAGCTTTGGAAAACCGAATACAAAAGGAAAGTATGAATACAGCCCCTCTTATATTAGTTTAGAACTGTTTGTTCACTCAGAAATTCTAGTTTAGATCAAAATACAGGTCAGAGTTCATAAACTTACTTAATTTGTTCTATCAATCTGCTTTTCCTTTTGGCAAGGCATTGTTTCATCATCAAAACCAGAGTGCTGCCGTTTAAGGGAGTCAGGTGAGAGTTAAACAAGTCCTCACGTGGAGTTATTCGCACCAAGCAAAGGTTCTCACTTTGGGACGACTGTGGACGTAAAAAAAAAAAAAAAGTGTAAATGAAAAACTTGGAAATACTAAGTTTTTGTAGTACTTTTATTGAGCAACAACACATCAAATAAATTATGACAGTAAAAACATTTATGTTACAAAAAATTATTTCAAATAAATGTTATTTTGAACTGTCTATTCATCAAAAAAATCTTGTTTTTTTTTGAAGAATAGAAAATTCAAAAGAACATTTATTTGAAAAAAAATTTGTCAGTAAGATTTACTATTATTATTATTAAAGGGGTAGCTCACACAAAAATGAAAATTCTGTCACTAATTACTCACCCTCATGTCGTTTCAAACCCGTAAGACCTTCGTTCATCTTCGGAACACAAATTAAGATATTCTTGACAAAATATGAGAACTTTCTGACACTGCATAGACAGCAAGGGAACTACCACGCTCAAGGCCCAGAAAGGTAGTAAAGATATCGTTAAAATAGTCCATGTGACATCAGTGGTTCAACTGTAATTTTATGAAGCTACGAGAATACCGTTTGTGCGCAAAGAAAACAAAAATAACGACTTTATTCAACAATTTCTTCTCTTCCGTGCCAGTCTTCGACGCACATTCAGGAGAGACTGCTCCCTGGGCACCGCAGCATAAATGGCTGCCCACTGCTCCGGGTGTGTGTGTGTTCACTGCTGTGTGTGTGCACTTAGGATGGGTTAAATGCAGAGCACTAATTCCGAGTATGGGTAACCATACTTGGCCACATGTCACTTCTCTTTCACTTTCACAAATAAACACCTGTATTCGGTATGAACCGGTATACCGCCCAGCACTAGTCAGCAGCACCACGCGCATGTCGTGACACTTCATAAAATTACGGTTGAACCACTGATGTCACATGGACTATTTTAATGATGTCCTTACTACCTTTCTGGGCCTTGAACGTGGTAGTTCCCTTGCTGTCTATGCAGTATCAGAAAGCTCTCGGATTTCATCAAAAATATCTTAATTTGTGTTCCGAATATGAGCAAAGGTCTTACAGGTTTGGAACGACATGAGGGTGAGTAATTAATGACAGAATTTAAATTTTTTGGGGTGAACTGTCCCTTTAAAGGGGTCATATGATGCGGTTTCAATTTTTCCTTTCTCTTTGAAGTGTTACAAGCTCTTG